TATTATTATTATTATTATTATTATTATTACCCTAGAAGAAAACAAAAAAAAACAAAAAAAAAACTTGATCGCTGTCTGTTGAAATTTCCAAATTGTACTGCATTTCAATCTGGTTTCTACACGGTCGCGCTATCAACGCTAAACTATTGCCAGCAGTTAGACCGTGTGTACGACAAACTAAAGAAGTATCCTGCTTTTGTTAATCGAGGCTTGGCATTGTTTCAGCAAGACAATACGAGATTACACACTTCCAGGTTGAGAAAGGAGAAGTTCAAACAGATGGACGGTCTTGAGATTATTTCATATCCACCATTCAGTCCCGATCCCGACCCGAATGACTATGGCTTATTCCGCTCAATGGCACACTTTATCTGCGTCTACCAATTTAACACTTTTGATGAAGTTTCTGGCAGTACCTAATATATCGATATTGTTATTGTATCGATAAAATAATTCCATTAAGCAATTATGCAAGTGATTCCGTTTATAAGGTCACCAATTGTAAGGGACGTATTTATGATTACCCCAGAGATTACGCTTGTTGGGAAATACATTGTACGTCAGAGATTCTTGGTTACTCTTTTGGATTTTTCTCAGTCACATCTATAGTATGCAAATACTTAATACTTTATCAATTTCTGTTTTCCTGTATCGTATAACTATCATACTATTTACATTATTCGGATTATTGTACTCATCTTTGTCACCATATTTATTACAACGTTTTGGCCGTTGTACGCTCCGGCCTTCTTCAGGTGGTCGGAATTTCGCTCACTGGGCCAGACTGTTCTAGATCGACATGCCATGTTTAACGGGTGTCAGTTATCAGTTATGAGTTATCTCCTGTTAATTTCTCTCTCCAAGTTCTCACTTAACCGGGTATTCAACTCACACGTCTTTGTGTCCTGTCACTAGATCTAACCAACGCCTTTATCCACTGTGCCATGTCTCCTTGAAGGCAACTGTGTATGAAATTCTGGGTATTATAAACCTAATGTCTCAGCAACCAGCAATAAGGAGTGCCAAAGAAAAGCTATAACAACAACAACAACAACAAAAATTAAATATAAGCTCTGCTAAAAATATGCAATGATAACTGCAAAAAATTGCAATATAAGCATTGGTAAAAAAATGGTTACCGAAACGTTGTAATACATATGGCGACAACGATGATGACAATAATACGAATAATGTAAATAGTGTACATAATACCTCATCTCAGAACTAAAATGAGCTCGAAACTGCGTCGTGGTGAAAAGCTTAGTTAGTATCGCTATATCACTTCCGACCAAGTAGTGAGTTCCATCCACACTGGGTGACCCATATATTCGGCCTTGTTCGGCAGCTAAGTTGAGCTTAGTAAATCACGATATCTAAAATATGCATTACATTTACTTGTCTCTCTATAATGAATCATTGATAATCTACCCCGGTAACATATTTGTTTTGCAAAATTCCTGAACACGTTTCTTTTATTCTTAAATGTAGATTCTGTTGTTTTTATTAATACAATCTTAATTTCGGTTATGATTCCATATTTCTTGCACAATTCTCTGTGAGAAATATGTCCTACCTAATCAAGTTTCCAATTATACTCTTCGTGAGTGGACTTGCTCTACTGAATTATTATTACACAATGCTGTGTTGAAAAGTGTTCGCTCCGAACAGGAAGAAAGAGACACATTAAATAAAGATATCAAATACATTAAATAAAGATGTCATATTTAATCCTGTGGTCAAATATTCGACAGAGAGACCGACCGACAACATTTCAGCGCAAAATCCTGCGTTTATCGTTTTTCAGTTCAAACTTTATTTATTACTAGACTACTCGTGATATGTTCGGTCACTGAAAGTTCAGGTTATAAATATTGAGTTTTGAAATGAAAGTTAATTTTACTGTTTCAGTTAAATATTTCAATTAGTTCGTGTCATCATTTTGTTTGGTTTACAACTTCATGTTTAACGTCTTACTGATTGTTTACAAATATTTATGGAAATAGAACTACCGGAATAAACTTGAAATTTACATCAGATTAATTTAAAAATATTTTTTACTTTATATTCACTCAAAATTTTTTTTTTAAATATGCCAAAAATATTTTTAAATTATTTAAAATAAATATTTATTTAAAGGAAGCTAAAATAATTACTCTATAAACAACTGGACGAAACAGTGATATCTTTGTGTCTGCTTAACTTAAAAATATTTGAATTAAAAATTATCTGTTTGAAAAAAGTTAAAATAAAAATGCTTGAGTATCTGTCTATATTTCTGAGGTGAGGTATTATGTCCGAATAATATAAATAATGTAAATAGTATAAAAATGCTAACTGGCTAAACAACTCGTATTTTTAAATCTTATTTACTTAAAATATTTTTCTAAAGTCAGATTAACGTAAGGATTGTTTTTAAATATTTAAAATATTTTTTTGTTTAGAGAAAGCTGACATATAAATAATTACTCTATAAAGAACTGGACGAAAAAGCAAACCGTGTGGGACTTTAAACTTAAAAATATTTTAATTAAAATATTTTCAGTTTGAAGTAAATTAAAATAAATATACTTATTGTATAGATAACTCGTAATTCGTTATGCTCCGGACGAACGCACGTCCGAAGTACGCGCGCAGTCGCAGACGTTTAGCATTCTATCGATAGATTTTGCTATTTATTGTTTCAGTGATTTTCGGATACATGTTTCTATTGACTTTCTTCTGGTTCTTTATCAAAGGTGATGTTTTTGTCGTGATATAAATTCTTCTATACAATCAACTTCAGTTCTTTTCCTCTGTGCAATTTCCTTTTTTGTCAGTTTTAACCAATTCATGTCACTTTTTATAGTTGACATCTTGATGTAAACGCTTTCGATATTTTGTCATTCATTTTCATACATATTCCATGACGCTGTGGCACTTCGACTTGGTATAATGGTTAGAAAACTAGTCTCGCTAGGTCAATTAGGAATCAATAGTGGCCTCGATCCTCTCTGGGTGCCCCATGCATTTGTCCATTTGCCATATCTAAGTTACGATTATTAAATCATTTCAGGCACCGTGACGTGGTGTAATGATCAGCAAGCTTGTCTCGTTAGATCAGTTATGACTGAATATTAAGTCCGATTCTCACTAGGTGTCTCATACTTCTGGCCTTGTGCCGTATCTATGCTATGATTAAAAACAATAACCATATCCTGTCTCCTTTAGCTTCGGGTTGGAAGCCCTGGAATTTTATTTTTGGAATTCTCAAGCTAATCAAGTTTGTTCATAATGAAAAAAAAACTTTATTACTTCTTACTGTATGTGAAGCTTTCCTGGATAATCTCTGGAATGTTTCGTTGTTATTCGTTGATTTGGTCCATTTTAGGAATAATCCTGAACAGCATTAATGGATAATATTCATTTATCTCTCAACGTTTTAATTCCATTATTAAATTATTTATATCTCTGTTTATGAGGGAATTTCATACATTTATTTCTTTAATTATTCCTACTTGAAATATTATCCTCATTTTATCACAATGAGGTCTGATATCATTCTTTGAAAGTGTTTTACCTTTTATACATATATGTATTTTTTTCTATCAGTTGCTCTAATCTATCACCTTGGGGGGACTTGAACGGATTTGGTCAGTGTTTCTTAATTCTTTTTTGCATTCAATATGCCCACATGTGCGCTAGTTGATCTTTTCTATTCAATATGCTTCGATATTCTCTTTTACTTATATTAATATTGCAGGTTTGATTCTATGATTGAATTGACATGTAGTAGTGCGTGAGGGGGGGTAACAAATGCATTGAAAATTTAGCTTTTGTCTTGCGATTTTTTCTTTCGTTCATTGCAAACATCCATTTGTTAAATATTTACATTGTTCGGACTATCGTCCTCATCTTTGTTGCTATATTTATCACAACGTTTCGGTTGTTGTACGCTCCGGTCTTCTTCAGGTGGTTGGAATGTCGAACTAAACCCATTATTTCGCTCGCTGGGGTAGAATGTTCTTGTTCCTCGAGCTTTGTCTAATGGATGTGAGTTAGTTAGATCCAGTGACAGGACCCAAAGAGTCTGAGTTCATTATAGGGTTAAGGTGGTTAAGTCTACCCCAGTAAGCGAAATAAAGGGTTCAGTTCGGCATTCCAACCACCTGAAGAAGATCGGAGCTTAAAACGGCGGAAACGTTGTGATAAATATGGCAACTAAGATGAGGAAGGTAGCCCGAACAATGTAAATAGTATATATAATATCTTATCTCAGAAATATAGAGAGATATCCATTTGTTGTCTTGTTTTGTATAACATTTCTAACATCTTAATTTTTTTTTCAAATTTTGGTTCTATTGCTATCCATATTTGTAGGATTAGTTTGTGATTTGTATCATTCTTATTTTTGAGATAACTCTTTTGTAAGCTTCTTGACAACGTTTCTCGAATCTAGTGAGAGGAAGATTTTTATCCACTACTTATTCCTGTGAATATGACTCTGCATTAAGAACAGAAACATTATTTCGCATTTATATTTAGTGGATATTATACATATTTAAGATCTTGTGGATTAGGGATTTTATGTCATTTGTCGTTCATTTTTTGTCATTCAGTCCGATTTCTATGATGAATATTATTATGAGAATAAAACATCCTTGAAAAAGAGAGAATTAAGGAAAAGTAAAAAGTAAAAAAAAAGAAGCAGACTTTAATAATAAAGACTGATTAATTAAAAAAAATATATCATAAAAATAACATACGTCAGAAATGAGAAGGAAAGGGGGATACTTTTTAGAAGGGAAGGGGGGGATAGTTTTTAGAAGGAAAGGGGGATAGTTTTGAGAAGGGAAGGGGATAGTTTTTAGAAGGAATGGGGATAGTTTTGAGAAGGAAAGGGGATAGTTTTGAGAAGAAAAAAGGGGATAGTTTTGAGAAGGAAAGGGGGATAGTTTTTAGAAGGAAAGGGGATAGTTTTGAGAAGGAAAGGGGATAGTTTTTAGAAGGAAGGGGGATAGTTTTTAGAAGATAGTTTTGAGAAGGAAAGGGGATAGTTTTGAGAAGAAAAGGGGGATAATTTTTAGGAGGAAAGGGGGATACTTTTTAGAAGGAAAGGGGGATAGTTTTTTAGAAGGAAGGGGGATAGTTTTTAGAAGGAAGGGGGATAATTTTGAGAAGGAAAGGGGGATAATTTTTAGAAGGAAAGGGATAGTTTTGAGAAGGAAGGGGGGATAATTTTTAGAAGGAAAGGGGATAGTTTTGAGAAGGAAAGGGGGTAGTTTTGAGAAGGGAAGGGGGGATAATTTTGAGAAGGAAAGGGGGATAGTTTTGAGAAGGAAAGGGGGATAGTTTTTAGAAGGAAGGGGGATAGTTTTTAGAAGGGAAGTGGGATAGTTTTTAGAAGGAAAGGGGGAAAGTTTTGAAAAGGAAAGGGGGGATTGTTTTGAGAAGAAAAAGAAAAGAAGTAATTGAAAATTGAGTATGAAAGAAACCAAAAATAAGGGCGATGTATTTTGAACAAAAAATGAAACAATGAAAAATAAATAAATTTCTGAAAGTTATGAAAAAAAGAAGAAAAGCGGATAAATGGAAACGAAAATTTATATTCGAATAAATCCGAAATGGGAACAAAGCAAAGAAATTAAATAATGAGAAGAGATAAAAAAAAAGAAACTGAACTTCTATATCCATATATAAATTCGTTCGTTTTTTTTTCGTTTTTCGTTTTATTTTAATCCTGTTATTCCTCAACAATTTTAACAAAGCATTCAATAATATAAAGCGATAAACAATGTTTCAGAAAATGAATCAAGCAACATAAGAATGGGATGTGTTTTCCTTAATTCAAGTTACATTGAAAATAAAATGAAACAATCTATCTGACACTTCAATATACAGGTAGGTTTTATAGATATTTTTATATTTTATAGTATTTTTGGGTAATTATAATTTTGAAAAGTCATTGCAGTACATTCGATATTCACTTCATCACTTTCTGTATAACTGATGAATGACAATTGCTAGTGACAAAATATCGAAAATGTTTTATGTTTTTGTTTGAAATTTGATTATAAATTAATACGAATATTGACTTAATTAATTACAATAAATGGTATTCTCTTTATCATGAACTCCTAGGATATTTTCTCGATAATTTCCAATGCAATATAAACATTGGTATTTTATAATCCCATCGTCTATTTGAAAGACTTTGTTTACTTCTAATCTCGATGTCTTTTAAAATAAGAATAAATGCCACTAGAAATCTGCCGGACTTTGCTGTATTTTTTCTTTTTATCTTTTGGTAGAGTTTTAGTTTGATTCTCTTTCACAAGAAATACTGTTGACGTACAGGTATTTATTTATTTTTCCTTTTGACATGTAATCTTTCTTAATCCCATGCCTGTAGCATAATACATTGGTATAGTTGGAACATTATAAAACTGAATAAAAAGCTGATCCTTTCGGAAAACATTGTTACTGTTTATCGCAATTGAAGATAAATATTTGACTATATATCTTATTTCAACAAATATGTTTCATTTTGAATTCATTTGAGTTGAGTTTACTGATTATATATATATATGTGCTTATATATATAATATATATATATATATGTGTGTGTGTGTATGATTATATACATATATATATATATATATATATATATATATATATATATATATAAACGATATATATATATATATATATATATATATATACATACATAAATATATCTATATTTATATTATTATTATTATTATTATATATAATAATAATAATAATAATAATAATAATAATAATAATAATAATAATAATAATAAAAAGGCTTAAACACTAATATTCCATGGTCATAATTTATTCCATTGGAATAGTAAATACGATCCAATTCATCAGACCTACAAATTCAAAATGTTTTGCATATGTATGTATATTTTCCACTAATATTATCTATCTATATATATATATATATATATATATTTGATGATTTAAAAAAAAAAATTTCAACATTCATATATTTTTTCTTTTGGTAGGTGTAAGGGAGTGTAAAAATTGTATGTATTCTCCATTAACCAAAGCGCTTTCGATCATATTTTAAAGGAGATTGTTTTAGGTGTTATTCATTTATTTTTATTTTTGACAGTCTAAGAAGTAGCTTTTGAGCTGTTTGAATAATCATAGTGTTTCTTTCATCCGCCCTTGGCGAGTTGAGCGTGGCTGGAATTCCAGTTGGCCTCTTTTCTTTCAACACATAACTTCTGTCAATTCATAATTTCTAAAACGAAATTTTACAAAAGACCACATAATAAGAGCTATTATACTTTTTCTTGGCAATATATTGTAAATTAATTAACTATTTCTTTATAATTAAATGAAGTACTTAACTGAAAAATTATATATTTACGGATTTTAATACGGAGGCAGAGTTGAGTAATGGATAGATGCTCTGACTGAAGAAACGGTGAGCCTAGGTCGAATGGGTAAATAGCAAGGTAGACTGATACAAAAAGACTTGACTGGATACTAGTATAGCTAAAACCAGTCTGGAGGAGGTTGGGCTCCTTGAGGTTGTCTTACCCAGGAGACACCACTACTGCGGCGATATATGCAGTGTTCCTTAGATGATATCAATAAAAATGCATTAAATGAAAGCGATAGATTTAACAGTATTTTATGTTATATTTTCAATGGGAATATCAATCTGAAGAAGACAATTTCGATGAGAGGTTTGACATTTCCATTAATACATTATCCCTCTTTCGAGAGAATGGACAAAAATATAAGCACTGAACTTCAAATATTATATGACTCTACCGTCCAATAATGAAACTGAATTTTTTTCAAAAGAAATTTCTCACTAACAAAAGCAGAGTCAACAGTGACTATAACGTCAACAATATATAAGAATTACAGTTTAAGCAACTTAACGCAATTACACTGAAAACACACCTGTTTCGTTGACTGGTTTAAAACGCTGTAGCAGTTAAAAACAACACTTGAAGAAAAATGTGTTGATTTATAATTTATCGTCAAATTACTCGTCGTGGAGGTTGGTATAATGATATTCATAATATACAAATAACAGGTGCGCTGTAAAGAGTCAACAATTATTTGTTACTGAAGTAAACATCTCTGAATATCATTACATATATTTTAACTGTTTTCGAGGAAATAGTACAAATTGTACTGTCGTTAGATAATACATTGGTAAAATAGTATTTTACGTAAATTTGGTTATAAGTCAATCCACTATTTATTGCTAGATTATTTATTGATATTGATCCATATATATATATATATATATATATATATATATATATATATATATATATATATATATATATATATGTTTAGATACAACTTGCTACTGGTTAATAACTTAATTATCGCTTTTAATATATATATATATTTACATGTGAACATTATCTGTACCTTTATAAATTGAAGTAAATCATTTGTGTTGATGCACTGTGAGGTTTTTCTGTTTCTTTTATATTTTCTTTTTATTTAATTTTTTTTTAAATGCAAAATGAAAAAAAAAGTCCCCGAATAAAAAAAAAAAAATCTACCTCAACATTGCGATAAGAGATATATTTATAAAAATTTAAATTATGTAACAGTCATTCTTAACCCGGCACCTGAAGATTGCATTGTGTATGAGTCCTTCTTATGTTGAGGAAAAAATGCATATTTATTAATATATGCCTGGTGTAACAGCAAAATTGTCTAAATCGTGTAACAGCATAATTGTCCATCCGACAAAATGTCTAATATCTAAAAATCCTAAACTAACTGAGGTTATTTTTCCAGATTTTCAGATAAGACTTTTGGCTATCTTGGCACCATTTGTCGTAAGATTCATTGGAAGAAAAAAAACCTTTACTTATTCAGCTAGAAAGAGAACAGGTTAAAATCATTTCATGCCAGCCTCAGTATGTCTTCCCAACTGAGCAATGGTGAGAGAAAAAAGCTCATTCAAGCCTTTAGTAATAGTACCAACATTCATATCCTAGCTTCTATCATCAAAGTTCATTCAAGAAACATCAAGAGAATGGTGAATAAGTTTTGAAAAAGAGGGAACAGTGTAGAGCAAAACTGGATCAGTAGGCCAAACAGGAAGAGGTATCATCATTTCAACTTAGAGCTAAAGAGAGGAAATAGAAATACTCACTTTTAATCCTTAACAAGTTTGGCCCGAGAGAAAGGAGTTTTACTGATGATAGTTCAAACAGACTTGAAAATGAAATCGTAATTGAAACGTGTGAGGCACCTTGTTATTATACATTCTTATAGCTCAAAGTAAAGACTAATAGTGTTGTAAAAACCTCAGACAATTCCAGTTAAATATCTTTAATCATTTCTAAGTTTCAACAGTTCAGAAAATAATCCAACAATTGAAAAAAATTTGCTTTGACCGAATTGAACAATTTTGCAGGTGAACTGGGTATATATATATATATATATATATATATATATATATATATATATATATATATATATATATATATATGAACATTTCTCAGAATTAACCTGTAGAAAAGACAATATTTAAAATATGAATGACAATAGGAAAACTGTAATTAGCTGGCATGTTTTTATGATTTTATGTGTAGATAGAGGTAATTTAATTTTTGCTTTTTGTTATTAAATTACCTCAATCTACACATAAAAAATATACCAGCTAATTACCAAGCAATATTTCTTTAATTTTGATAACCAACATTTACAGACAGAAATTTGGTTTACCAATGGGATCTCCTCTCAGCGGCGTTCTTGCTTGTCGATTTTTAGAATTTCTAGAAAATGACACATTCAAAAATATTCTCCCTACAAAATCTTCATATTTCAGATACATAGACGACTTATTATTACTATATCCAAAAAACATCAATTTAACAGATCTTCTCTCCAAACTTAACAACGTTGAACCTACAATAAACGTCACTTTCGAAACTGAAACCAACTACACTCTTCCGTTCCTGGACATTTTGTTACATAGAAATAATAATGAACTAAATTTTGACGTTTACAGAAAGGCTACAAACAAAAATGATCTGATCAGTTTCTACTCAAACCACTCTTCTAAAATTAAATCTGAAATTATTATAGGTTTCTATCTAAGAGCGTTAAGAATCTACAGTCCCCAACATTTACTTAAAGAATGAACATACATAGGAAACACATTCAAAAGCATGCAATGCATATATCATTTCATCCACAGCGCAAGAAGAAAAGCTTACAAAATATACAACCGAAACAAAACTAATAACATAATACGCAATAGTAAATTACATGAAAACAGATACATAATACTACCGATCAACTCTGTCACGTCCACTATCCAGAATAACCTATCCCATCAAATAATCTTAAAATAGCAACAAACACTTACAAAGCCATTATGCATATGCTCAGATTCCAAACACTAATAGCAATAATATTTCTGAAGCAGACATTTCTAAAATAAATTCCTCCCAATATATTGGTGAAACAAGTAGAAATAAAAAAAACGCAGATATATATATATATATATATATATATATATATATATAT